ATCCTGAACTCCACCATTTCATGGTCACTACTACTTAGTAATAACTAAGTAACTTAATAAAAATACAGACTTTGTGGAAGCATCCTTTGGAAGTGTTAAATTTGCAGAGATAGATTGCATTGCTGCTCATCCAGTCAGACAGCTAAAAGGGAGGCATATTAATTTTTGGTATTTTAAATCCTTTGCTTTTATAACTGTGAAAATTAAATTGGAATCTTCTCTAATATTTAGGTGCTACGCTCAATGACAAAGACGACGACTCCCTCCCAGCAGAGACCGGCCAAAACCACCCATTTTTCAGACGATCGGACTCCATGACGTTCCTTGGCTGCATTCCACCCAATCCTTTCGAGGTTCCTCTGGCAGAGGCCATCCCCCTGGCAGACCAGCCCCATCTCTTACAGGTGACATCAGAGATGGTGTTCTCAAAGAAAACTGTGGTTTGCTTTTTCATTTCTAACTGAAGTATATTATTTACCCAGAATGTTTTTGTTAATTTTCAGCCAAATGCTCGCAAAGAAGATCTGTTTGGTAGACCAAGTCAGGGCCTGTATTCATCTTCTGCCAACAGCGGGAAATGCTTAATGGAAGTTACAGTGGATAGAAACTGCCTTGAGGTAGATTTAAAGGTTTATTATTTTAAACAATGGGGTAATTTAAACTAGTACCATCATTCCTTAAAAAGGCACTTTAATGTTTTCAGAGAGAGTTTTAAGTAGCTTTCAGAATGATAATTTTAAAAGCCCAGTAAGTGTGAAAATTTAGACTTTTTATGGAAAGTATACTGAATTTTTTTATCTAGGAACTTTCATGCTTACTGATTTATAGCACATTTCAGGCAGTATTTTTAAAGGGTGCAGTACAATCCTGAGCTAATTTTGAAATGCAAATTATATAATTATTTGTGATTTTAAAAAAATCATATCTTCCTATAGCACAGTAGATTTGACTTGCCTACAGGCTGAGCATTAAATGAAAAGCATATGAAATGCATAAAGTGGGCAAATGGGTTTTTCATTTTTCCTGAAATGATTTAGGTTATTGTGATTTAAAAGGTCAAATACAGTGCTCAGTTTTGTGTGGTTTAAAAATCATATATATATATATATACACACACACACATATGTGTGTGTAGACATAAATATATATTTGTATATATATGTAACTGTCCTTAAAAAGATTTCTAGACGGCTTTAAAAGTGTAATTAAATTTTACTTCTCCTTGTTTAGGTTCTTCCAACTAAAATGTCTTATGCAGCCAACTTAAAAAATGTTATGAGCATGCAAAATCGGCAAAAGAAGGAAGGGGAGGAACAAAACGTGCCTACAGAAGAGTCTGAGAGCTCAAAGCCAGGGCCTTCAGCTCACGATCTTGCAGCACAACTGAAAAGCAGCTTGTTGGCAGAGATAGGATTGACAGAAAGTGAAGGGCCACCTCTCACATCTTTCAGGTAGTTTGAGTTAAAATTTACTCTGTGAAATATTACTGAACTATTAAAATGATATCTGGGACTCTGAGAAGTCTTTTTAAATTAAAATGGGTAACTTATTTTAGTTTGAATTTGTAGTTTGTGTTTGGTAGCTTTCAAAGTGAACAGTTGAACAGTCTTCAAAGAAGTCTATGCAAAGTGTACTACAAGTCCTTTACTACCTGACTTCTTGCTGCAGACCTGCGATGGCCTGGGTAGCTCAGTTTAAAAATTAGAATTGAGAGCTTGCCATCAGCGATGGCAACTGATACTGACCACGCTTCATGCAGTCAGGGATTGAACTGCCCTCACTTTGAATTACAGCTTTCTTTAGAAAATTAAGGTCTTGATTGAAGAGAGACTAATAACAGTGAATTCCATGCAGCAGTGAAGTTGTAAGCTTTGAGAGTAATTTCTCTTTGGAAGCAAGACTTGTGTTTCAGCTGAAACTACGCAGCTTTGTTCTTTTGTCCACAAACTTACCGTACTGTGGTGTTGTTTATCAGAAATAAACAACTTACTTGAAGGCAGAGGGTAAGAAGAAGCAAAAGTACACAAAATGTGTCTGAAATTTAACTTTGTTTTCCTTGTCTCACTTTTTCCATTGTGACAGGCCACAGTGTAGCTTCATGGGCATGGTTATATCTCATGACATGTTGCTGGGACGCTGGCGCCTTTCTTTAGAGCTGTTCGGTAGAGTATTCATGGAAGATGTTGGTGCAGAGCCTGGATCAGTATGTACTTCCCAGTGTATTTCCCTCTTAAAACTAAATTGTGAACCTCCCTCATTATACTGATTTTGGTTTTTTGTGGTTTTTTTTGTTGTTTATTTTAAGATCTTGACTGAATTGGGTGGCTTTGAAGTAAAGGAATCAAAATTCCGCAGGGAGATGGAAAAACTCAGAAACCAGCAATCCAGGGATTTAACGCTGGAGGTAAAAAATGTTAGTTTATCTTCTGAATTTGTTTGCATGAAAAGTTGAATTATTGCACACTGCAGTAACTTGATAGGAGAAGCTGTATTTCAGATACAAATCTACAGTCCGCAAACAGATATCTTAAACTACTGTGAGAGCTGTGTTGCAATTACTCTGTAGTTTTTCAGTCTAATTGATGTTTTCTGAGTGTACAAAAGTGTCCAGAAACTTCTTGTAAAGCTGAAATTCTCTGTGTGGTGACTGTATTTTTTGTGTTTTTACTAGGTTGATCGAGACAGAGATCTTTTAATCCAGCAGACCATGAGGCAGCTCAACAATCATTTTGGTCGCAGGTGTGCTACCACTCCAATGGCTGTTCACAGAGTGAAAGTTACTTTTAAGGATGAGCCAGGAGAAGGCAGTGGTGTAGCACGAAGCTTTTATACTGCTATTGCACAGGCTTTTCTGTCAAACGAGAAACTGCCAAATCTAGATTGTATTCAGAATGCCAACAAGGGTACCCACACAAGTAAGTGATGCACAACAGTTAATCTACAGATAACATTCATAAATGCCTTGGATGTTTTTTTAATATTGAAATATTTGGCTTTGTCTCAGAGGTTTCTCTTATTAGCTCAGCACAAGAACTGTGAAAATTATGCATGTTACCTCTCTCAGGCAAGGAAATGGGTGCTTTTTCTGCTTTCAGAATCGGGAAGCCCTTGTTTTTTCTTGAAACAAGAGTCTGTGTAAGATATTCTCAGCTTTTTTGAGCATCATTTTGAGCTTATACATTTTAATATGACTGCTCTATCTGGCTTGTCACAAATACATTTGAATGTTTCTGAAAGTAAATACTCTTGAAGTATTTTGGCCTTTGTAAGTTGGTACAGATACTTCAGGTTCCTTTTTTAAGTTTGGCTGAACCCAGATCGCTACTGTAAGTGAAGTGGTTCTGTCTCATTGATGTCTTTCAAGTTGTCTTCCAAAACACTGTCCTCCTTACACTGAAACTGAAGTAGGAGAGAGAAATACGAAGATGTTTAAGCTTATGAGACTTTTTCCCATTCAGGTCTGATGCAGAGATTGCGAAATAGGGGAGAGAGAGATCGGGAAAGGGAGCGAGAGAGAGAAATGCGGAGAAGTAGTGGCCTACGAGCTGGTTCTCGGAGAGACAGGGATAGGTAAGTGATATATTTTTAATTTGTTAGAGATACCTTGTCAAATAGAGTAATTGCCTTGGTTATCTTAAATTAAATTAATCAAATTAAAGATGTCTGTCTTTCTCGCTTTCAGGAGCAATTTACAGGGTAAATTCTAGAAATTCAATATATACTTTAACACTTTAAAAAATAATTATGCTTACTTCAACATTGATAGATTGTCTCAACCATATGCCATAAATTTCTCCTGCTAAAACAGTAGTAAAAATTTGTGTACTGAAATAAAATTGTGAGGTAGTTTTAGAAACAGTATTGCTGTTGGTGGCATGTCCAGTTACTGTATCCAAAATACTGGTAGTGTTAAAATCTCTGGTTCATTTTGATTCTTTGTTTTGGAGTCATTCTCTCCAAGCAGCTATGAGAATCAGTACTATTCCAGCATAAAAGCTATTGCTATTTTGAATCTATGAACATATGACATTATTCCAGAAGACTTTTGCATGTTTCCTCTGAAATGAGTACAAACTGCTCTAATTTTCTTAAGGGACTTTAGAAGGCAACTTTCCATTGACACAAGGCCTTTTAGACCAGCATCAGAAGGAAATCCTAGCGATGACCCTGACCCCCTTCCAGCACACAGACAAGCCCTTGGAGAAAGGCTCTACCCTCGAGTGCAAGCAATGCAGCCAGTAAGACTTGTCTAATACACTTAGTGATACAATGTTCTTGTCATCTTCAAATTTAAAAATTAATTTCTTTGTCCATTACTATTTAACATAACTGAAAGTATTTGTAAGGCTGTTTTTATATTCTTTGGAATTTTCTTAAGATTTTGTTTCTGTAATTTGTCATTTAGCATAGGAGGTATCTCATAATGCATTCTATATTTAAAAAACTAAAACTTTCATAAACCTGTATTTAAAAACGAGAGAACTGGAGGAAAGTAGTAAGATGTGTCATTCCTTATCCCTAGGCATTTGCAAGTAAAATCACAGGAATGTTGTTGGAATTGTCTCCTGCTCAGCTGCTGCTCTTACTGGCTAGTGAGGATTCCCTTAGAGCAAGAGTTGATGAAGCAATGGAACTCATTATTGCACATGGCAGGTAACGTATTGAGGATTTAGATAAAAAATGAAAACTGATTTTGTAGCCAAAGCACTTGTACTGTGCTATGTCTAAGTCTGACACGTGAGACTTATTCCTTGCTTTGTTCTAGATAGTTTTCTTTGGACCTGTCATCTTTGGTTTAATCTGATCTGTCTGGTTTCAGAATATGACAATTTCTTATTGTGAAATTAAATGTGCCTCTTGTTTTTTCTTGTCAAGGGAGAATGGTGCAGACAGTATACTGGATCTTGGATTGCTTGACTCTTCGGATAAAGTGCAGGTAATGAACTGTTGCGCAGTGTAAAAAGTTACTTAAGTTCCAGTTGTATCAGTTAATTTTAAAAAGTTAAGCAACTGCTGGAGCCTTCCTTTATTGTACAAGACGAATTCTGTTTAAATATCCTGTGGAGTTATCTTTTTCTTTCTTTCTTTTTTTCTTTTGAAAAGATTAAGCAGTAAATTACACAGAAGTCTAAAATGTTGCCATTAGGAAATATCATGGAACTTCTTAACCAATGGAACTTGAATCTTTGGGTTTAGTAGCAAAGGGCTTGTTGATGTGTGCCAGTAACTAGAAGTAATTTATTTTAAATTGCTATTCTGACTTTCAAAACAGGAAAATAGAAAGCGACATGGTTCCAGCCGCAGTGTAGTAGATATGGAATTAGATGATACCGATGATGGGGATGATAATGCACCACTTTTCTACCAGCCTGGAAAGCGAGGTTTTTATACACCAAGACCTGGTAAAAACACAGAAGCAAGGCTGAACTGTTTCAGAAACATTGGCAGGTATGACACTATTAACTTGATAGTCTGAAAAAATCATTTTACCTTTCTTTACAATCTGGAAGTTTTATACAGAAGGTAATATTTTTTTGAAATTATATCTGTCCATCTTCTTTTGGGGATTGATAGGGCTGGAAAGCTAGCTGCAGCCTGATTCTTAGATTTTTATTTTTTATTTTTTTAATGTGAGTTTGCTGAAAGATCTCCAATGTAATTTCTGTCATACCAAAATGTTTCCCGAATATTTATTTTCAGAATCCTAGGATTGTGCTTGTTGCAGAATGAACTATGTCCCATCACGTTGAATAGACATGTAATCAAAGTTCTTCTTGGCAGAAAGGTAAGTTGAACATAGAAATTTGAATTTCCTTTAATTACATGAAATCTTACCTTTAAAAAACTTGCTTTTTTTTCCCTAATGTACATGTATCGACTAGCAGAGTTGATACTGGAACTGTAAGGATGCCTTTACATTTAATTTGAGAAGTACTATTTTTTCATTTCCAGATTTTGAACAGAGTAGATGTACTAGAAGTCAGGTATTTGACCGAGGTAGAATGATTTGTAATAATTTAGCCCTTGATTCTCTTCAGAAACATTTTACTGTCTTCCCTTTTCCCTTCCAGAGACTGAGGACAGAGAAAGATAGTGTTGGACAGTACTAGGCAAGAGCATCTCAGCTTATTGAAAAGCATTTTCATCAGTTCTTGAGGGAATTCATTGAACTGAATTGTAATTAACATTTTGTCTTGGGTGCAGGATAATTTAATTCATAGCAATAATTACCTAAACTTTTGGCAAAAATGCTTCCCCACCCCAATAAACACTTGCTATGTACTGCATATTTCATGCTGTAATCACCAGCGTAAGTTCTGTCTGATGCAACAAACTTAAACCAAAGTTTGTTACTCTTGGTCTTTTCGTTAAAAACAATGTTGGTCACATAATCAGTTATCCAACATACATACCATCTTTAATGAAAAAAGGTTAATGGCAGAAAGATACATCTGCAAATATCCCCTGATATCTTCCAAGAGAGGTTCCCTTCTAATGCTTTCCTTCAGGTTTTTCTTGAATATGTATTCCTTCCAATTAAATGTTGGGTACATCAAAGAACATTTTAGTTAGGTTTACTTTAGTTAGTAGGTAACTTTTCTCTCCAGGCTGATAGAGTGAAGAAGCAAAGAAGTATAGAAAACAGCAAGGTATTTGAACTGTTGAAACTGGGGTATGCAGCTCCTGGGCCATCATTTGTTTAAATATGTATATGTAGCACCATTAGGTATGTGTTTAAATGGAGGGAAACTTTCACCGTTTTAGAGTACTGATGCAAATTGTTTCCCACTTCAGTCAACCTCCATCAAACCTCTGTTGATCTAGGTGGTGTGTAGAAGAATTTGTTTAAAAAAAAAACCCTATAAATTTTCTTCATAAGCTCTATGCCCTTAATAGCAACAAAGGCTTTACAGGTCTATCCTTACATTCCACTAATGCACTTCAGTTGAGTATTCTAATATACCTTCAAAACCCGTCCGAAAATAGGAGTTTAACTGCCATAATTTCTAAATGTTTGCATGCTTTGTTATATGGGTTATGCACTGCTGTATGCTGGTACATAGACAGGCACAGATCACATCATTTTGAATATGTTCTTAAACAAGTGGTATGTTTCAACAAACATTTATCTTTTTCTATAGGTGAACTGGCATGACTTTGCTTTTTTTGACCCAGTTATGTATGAAAGCCTTCGGCAACTTATCCTTGCTTCCCAGAGTACAGATGCTGACGCTGTGTTTGCAGCAATGGACTTGGCCTTTGCAATAGACCTGTGTAAGGAGGAGGGCGGAGGGCAGGTAAGCACAGCTAAACCTGTGTCTCTGTGGGCTCAGAATTCAACAGCTTATCCATGTTGTAGTGTACACATGATCCATGCTCTTCTCAGATGAAGAGCCGTAACATTTTACCCTTCCTAAATTCAAATACAATGTTCTCCTTAGACATTGAAGTGTGGGGTTTTTTTCCCTTGAAGTTGATGTAGAGCTTATCATAAAGCCCAGATAGCATAGTCTATCCTAGAGAGTCTCTAAAGCCAACCTGTAGTAGTAAATTTTGCTTGTTTTCAGAGGGGATTTTAAACGATAAATCACTGTTCAGCATACTGTGGCTGTTGTAATAATCTAATTTCCTTTTTTTTTTCTTTTTAAAAATGGTCATTGTTACCTTGCCATAGGTTGAACTTATTTCCAATGGTGTAAATATACCAGTCACTCCTCAGAATGTATATGAGTATGTCCGGAAATATGCAGAACACCGAATGTTGGTAGTAGCGGAACAGCCTCTACATGTAAGTCTTTGGTGGAGTGTTTTTGGTTGGTGTGTGTTTGTTTGTTTGTTTGTTATACCTGTAAGATTTCAGTCAGTTAATTCTTTTCCTCGTTATGGTATTGCTAATCAGGTTTCTTTTGAAGTCTTGACAGCTTGATGTAAAAATATAGCTTGATTTAAAAATATTTAATCCTCTCCTTTTTTTGTAATTGAACAGCTGTTTTATACAGTACTGTGAAGACTGATGAATGAGCAGTTTCTCTTTTTATAGAATGAAATATAATTTCTTTAAACTTGATCTTATTGGTTAAGTATATAGGTTCACTTCTTGAGCTCAAATGGCATGTATCCTCTTGGAATTTTTGCTTTGTATTTAGCAGCTATTTTTTTCTAATAATCTATCACATTTTATTTATTTAACCTTGTAAACAACAATTAAAAAGAAATCTCAAAATATTTACATAAATTACCTTGAACTTCTGACTTGATTGTGTCCTTGTTTTAGTAGGAGGAATCAGTTATGAGGCATACAACTTTGTTCTTATTTTACTAGCCTGGCAAGAAACCGAACAATTGACTACCAAACTATATTAAAATACCTTGGGTTTTGAAGGCCTTTTAAAATAAAAGTTATAGAATAATATATTTTTGTAAAGAGTTAACGAAAGTCCAGTACTTAGAACCACTTACTCTCTGTCATATGATGCTACATCTAACCTTGGTCCTTTCTGCTGACTGTGGTTTCCTGCTGCACTTCTGAGATACGCCAGCAGACTGCTAGATTACCTCTGTGTGGTGTAGGGCCAAAATTCTCACAGAAAGAACATGTTTCTGGAACTAAGCTACACAGTCTTCATGTCTGCATATATTAGTAGGTTGACTTTTGTTTATTTTAGGATTTTAAAACCATAACACTTGTATTCATTTTGGAATTCACTAAAACAACTTTATTCATGTTCTTTCATTTTGAAAATGGAATTTCCAGTCTTTTCAGGGTGTTATTTATATAAAATAATACATGTGTGTGTAACATTTTTAAAGCAGAGTTGGCAGATGAGTGTCCGAGGAAGCAAAGTAAAAGTAACATGCAAGATACATTTTTTTTTTTTCCTTCTGTAATTCTCATTGGATATAGCATAGCTCAGCAAAGTATCTGAACATTTTGGCATTTCAGCTCTTGGTGACATATTTTTTCAAACCATTACTGCATTCTTTGCAATAGTAGGTAGGGTTTAACAGACTGGTGCAGTTCTTTGTTTCAGAAAATTTGCATCTCAGATGGTAGAGCTCTGGCAGAAAAGAACAGCTAGGAGAACAATGGATTTTGGGTTAATGAGGAATTTCATGTGGAGCTTTTCAGTAATGCATTTAAAATCTCAAAGTGATACGGCTATAATGTGAATCTTGTGGTTTTCACTTAAGGCAATGAGAAAGGGTCTCCTGGATGTACTTCCAAAGAATTCATTAGAAGATTTGACAGCAGAAGATTTCAGACTTTTGGTAAATGGCTGTGGTGAAGTAAATGTGCAAATGCTAATCAGCTTTACCTCTTTCAATGATGAGTCAGGTATGAAATAACTTGCTCATTCAGAAACAGATTTGCCAGGGATAACTTAACACTGTTTCTTCTGTGTGAAGTAGAGTTATCAGCATTAAAGTGCCTCTTCAAGTTTGACATCAGTTAATAAGTCACTGAAAGACCTAACAAAATTATTACTGTGTTTTTTCCATACCTTTGAAAAATATATCCATTCACTTGGGGGGGGAATTGGGAAGCACGTTTTCCAGTTTTGCTGTCAAGCGATGTTTAATTGCAAGGATTATATAATTGGTCACGTATCCTTCCTTCCAAAAGTTCTGACCTAACTTAGAACTGAATGTGATGGATGCAGTCTTAGTATTTCTTAACATATTTTTTTAAACGGTATTTAGCTGTTGTTAGGCTTTTTGGGAGGGAAGAGGTGGGAGTTGTACTGAGGTATGTCAGAGTTAGCCTTAACATTCAAAAGTATGTGTATTAATTTTGAAATTACTGATGTCTCCAATATCAGGACTTTATAAATGAGGTTGTGGCTGAGATCCAGCTTGCAGTACATATAAAACAGATCTCTTAATATTTACTGTCTGGTGTCCCAGTTGCATTATATATATATACGTATTTTTTTATTTCACACAGGAGAAAATGCTGAGAAGCTTTTGCAGTTCAAGCGTTGGTTTTGGTCCATAGTTGAGAAGATGAGTATGACAGAAAGACAAGATCTAGTAAGTTGTCCATTCCCAATGGAAATGTGCAGAAGAACTGGAGTTACTTTGGCATCATTACCCTTTTTAACTGTGTTTACCTGCAGAGACTTTATATGTGAAGAGTTAACATGGCAGAGCAGGGTAGTAGGGACTGATTGGACTTTCAGTTCTGGAAACACTCAGTGTGAATCCTAGGCCTTCTTGCAACTGCAAGTAAGCGTGGTGTGTCCTTACCCATATCCTCAGGTCTGTTTTGGAAGCGCAGTTAGTCTCTGTGCAGTCATTCTTAAGCTGAGTAAGTGTGGTTACTCAGCTGTGTTGTGGGTTAGCAGGGTTTTGAGGTTGAGTTCTCTTCCTGGATCAGCCACTCTCCTGACTTCTGTGTGCGCCAAGGGCAACACCTGTGTCCTCTGTAAGATTTCAGTAACGACACTGTTTCCTTCTCCAAGCCTTCAGTATTAAGTGATGTGGAGCATGAAAGAACAAGATAGTGTTCAAGGGGTTTCATTCTGGAAATCTTTCCTGTAGATTGTATTCATTGTACGCTTCTTAAAACTATTTGAACTTCCTACTACTTAAGGTACTATCTTTCCTTTACAGTTTGCGGAAAGGAAACAAGGACTAATCTGAAAAGCAGGAAATCTAGAGCATATTTGTTAAGGAATATCTGTGGTTATGCTTTGGTAGTGACTCTGCAAGTCAGTATTTCACACTTGAGACATTAAACCAAATACTCTCTGTTGCTGCCATTTTTCTGGGTGGGTGCTTTTTTCTGTAGTCACTGACAGGTTTGTGAGAGATTTCTGATGCATTTTGTATTGATGGCAGTCGCCATCTTCCCAGATGGATTTGAGGACCTTTCATTTCCTGAGGATTTGTTGATACAGGATCATTCTGAGTGCTGCTTTTATCAGTTTTAACAGAAACAGATAACATAGGGAACAGTTGAGGAAAGGAAAAGGAAGGTACTACAAAAGCATGTGGCATGACCACCGAGTTTTGTTGGTATATTGAACAGAATATAGCACGATGAAGCTTGCTGTGACTATGCAGTTCTTCTTTAACCTGTCCCTGCACAACATGTAGGCAATATGGATTTCACCTTTGTACAGGAAAATTTTAAATGTAATCTTCTTTTTTCAGGTTTACTTTTGGACCTCAAGTCCATCATTGCCTGCCAGTGAGGAGGGGTTCCAGCCTATGCCGTCAATCACAATAAGACCACCAGATGACCAACATCTTCCTACAGCAAACACTTGCATTTCTCGCCTTTATGTCCCGCTCTATTCCTCTAAGCAGATCTTGAAACAGAAATTGTTACTCGCCATTAAGACCAAGAATTTTGGTTTTGTGTAGAGTATAAAAAGTGTGTATTGCTGTGTAATATTACTAGCTAAGTTTTGTAGATTTTTCCATTTGTCTATAAAAGTTTATGAAAGTTAATGCTGTCATACCCCTGGTGGTACTTTAAAGAATTAAATGCAAACATTCCTGTACTAAATTTGTGACGTAAAGGCCTAAGGAGCACTGGCAATATGTGATTGCAACATTTTGCTAGTCAGTAACTCCTTTGCCTAACCCCAGCCAAAGATGACAGCAGAACAATATAATTTACACTGTGATTTATCTTTTTGCTGAGGGAAAATATGTAAAATGTTCTGAAAATTCACTGCTGCCTTTGTGGAAAGTGTTTCAGCAAAGGTTCTTGTACAGAGGGAGTAGGGAATTTCGAAATAAAAAATTAAGTATGTTCTGTGTTTTATTTTAACTTTTTTTAATGGTGTTTAATTTGTGGTTGGCTGCAGTTGTGTATCATGTATATTGAACTTGTAAAAAGTTCCTGACAGCTCAGATCCCAGAGCTGGGATCGTTCACTTATGAAACCACTTTCATTGCAATTTTTGTTCTGATTGCATTGAACTCTGGCGCATCAGATACCATCACTAATATTTTGCATGTAACCTGTACCTTTAGTGGTTTTTTGGGTTTTTTTTGTACATATGATGAGGCCAATGCACAGTATTTCATAGTTCACAATCAACATTTTTGTATCCCTGTTTCAGTGAACAGACAGTCAGGAGATTGTTCCACTACCAGTTCTAACCCGACACTTGTACTACATTATCTAACTATGTAAACTCAGCCTGGGCACTTTCTGGTAACTGTAAAATGTTTATAAGATCATGATTATTGAAGATACATTTTGGAAAACTTTAATGTTCGTGAGCAGCTTAACTTCTTTTGTATCTAGCCTTTTTTTAAGTATCTTGTTACAGTTTTTTAATAAAGAAATTACAGACAAAATACCAAGTTATACTGAAGACACAATAGTTTTTATTTATTTAGCCATTTATACTTCAGCTAACAACATACACTAAACACAGTTGTTCATTAAAAATCTGAATTTTGTAACTGAAAAATTGACCTGCAGAAGACACTCAGCCCACATTTTACAGTTAGCAGAGAATCCTGAATGAAACAGGCCAGGCAGCCCCTTCTTTTCACAGAATTGGTTTGAAGGGAAAATGGCTTGTTTGGAAAAATCTGAAGGTAATTAGGTTAGAATAAAATTCTCAAGGTGCGTTGTAGTGGGTTCTACTGTATGTTCACTTTTGAGGTGGTTGGTTGCTTTTGGGGTGGGCAGGCTTTGACCATAACCTAGGATGAGTTTTCCCTAATGCTTGAGAGATTTTGAGGGTTAGGAAGTGATTAACAAAGGAAGGAACTACTTTGTGTCAAAGCAGATTTCTGAAAGCTCAGCAGACAGAAGTATTGAAGGTTCAGAGCTTTTGTGGTGGTGATGTTTTCCTTCCTTCTTGCTTCTCCAACCCCACCAGTCCATGTTAGTAATTTTTTTTTCTTCCTTTTGTTGGGAAGAGCTAAACTAATGTTCCGTCAAAATCCAAGTGGGATTCACCTTTGCCAAAGCTCTACTGGATTTTCCATCAGCTAGTTGAGGATGACCAGAAGTTACCTACAGCTGAGATTTTTAAAAAAGCCTCTGCTTTCATTTATTTAGTTGCTATAGGTATGAAGGACAGTTGAGATCAGAAATTCTGATCACCAGTTGCCAAATTGATGCTGAAAATCTTATTTTCTAAAAAAGGCTGTTTCAGGCTTGTGTAGTTAAACTGCAGATAATTGAAGTAAACAGATGTAAAATTATTTCTGCATGTACTAATACTTCCTAAATCAATCATCCGAGAAAAGGATAGTTTCAGTGTATGAGGGTTGGAGTCTGTTCTGGATTTCCTGTTGTGACCTCCAGTGTATCTGAAGTTCAAAACTGCATCAGATTTTACTATGCTAGTATCAGTTAAAAGTAAAAAGCAGTACAGCTACACAAGTCTAGGTGCATTAGTATAGAGGAGGTTTATATTGGTATGGCTGTTGTCATATACTAAGGAGAACAGTTACAAAGGTACAAAGCAATGTAGAGCTTATGCCTGGATTTCGAACTGGTGTAATTATTTCTATTACCAAAAACGCTTCTAACCGGAATGTGTGAAGTTCGTAGAAAGCAACAAAAGAAACTGTTTAGAATAGGCATCAAATCTACAGTCTGTAAAATAAAGCTCCCTCCCTCACAAAGCTTTGTGAGACTTGATGTATTAAAAAGTATCCAAGGCCCTTGGACGAAAGGCCATATATAAATGTAAAGTACTGTGTGTATATATATATGTATTGTGTGTATATGTATATAAGTGTATGTGTATGTATAACATATAAATATATGTTATATGTATATATATTTCTGTATATAGCTTAAACATTTTTTTAAGTCCTGTAATGTATAGCTAGACAAAAAATCTGCAGATAACCCACAGTAGTTCACCATATATACACACACAAAGGCGTTCTGGTAAGTGGAGAGGGGATCTAGAATGATTTATGCTGTCGTCATTGACTTGAAATGTGTATGTAGCTTTATAAATAGCTTTTTTCCTCTGTATGGTATATTTAAACTATATTCAAGATTTTAATAAGAAAAAATGTTTATTAAAATCATACACCTCATCTCCCTTTGACTTAAGCCCTTCTGTTAGTTCACTTTAAGATGTAGTAGAGAAACTATAGTTAAAGGAAAATTCTGTAATGTTTACATTTTTTTAATAGTCGAAATCCTTAATCTTATAATCCTTCATAACTGCTGAAATAGGAGCTAAAGGTAGCCACTAATAAAATGTGATCACCAACTACTAGCCTAGTTCCTGTTCTGAATCTAGGGGAACCTGTCACCGTAGTGCTAGCTCCCATGGCTCATTCTCGCCGTTGGTTGCTGTTGCTTAGCTGACTATCCAGCACAGAAAGTGAATTGCTTGCTCCAGCTTTGATAGCTTTCCAGAAGTGCGAAACTGTATGGGCTTGTCATCAAGTGGCCTTTCCCATCTGCTTGGTTTGGGAGTGACTTTTTTTTCTGCAAGTTAATCATTGGGTCATTGATAGCGTGCAGAGCAAAAGCTGTAAACTGGCAAATTTGTGAATTGATAACAATACCCTTATACAGCAGCAGTCACGCAGGGAAGCAGAGGAAATTTTCCTTATCTCAGAACCTATCTTTGTGTAATCTTTTATCTTTGTATGACTTGCACAATTGTATGCAGAGCTCCTGTTTTTCAGAAGTGCACTCCATGTGTGCGCAGAGAAGTGCGCAGGGAGCAGGATGCGAGCCTTTCCTGGGAGGGTGTGTGCAGGTGGGAGAAGCACCCAGTCACCACCAGCCGCTTCCTGTGCCCTTCTGCTGCTTGCAGAGAGCTGTTCTTCATCACTGATGGCATAAAAGACTGTTCAGTAAATGAGTAGTAACGGTGGAGGAAGCTTATTCCTGTTCTCTTTTAACTCCCTTTTTACAGCATCCTTATAAGATGTGGATCATGTCTCTGTGTGTGAATCTGTAAATGCCAATCTGAGCTTTTTCTGTCTGTAATCTCTGCTTCATTGACACTTGCATTGCTCTGGCTTCGTCTTGCTAGAGCAAACTACAGATACCTAATTTAGTAGCCTTGATTCCCTTTCATTCTTCAAAATTTGTATAATTTGACCTGTTTTACCTGAACTTCAGTTTGCCTTTTTAATAGCAGGTCTGCCAAAATCAAATAGAAAATTCTGCAACTCTGGATTAACTGGACTCCAGTGCTTGTGGCATTTGTTTATCCTGAGCTCTGAATGTCTGCACGCAGACTGAAATGTGTAGGTGAATTGGTCATGTGAAAGCTTCAGCAACTGTTTTGAACTGGCAGTGCTGGAAGTTCCCGTGTGTTCTGTGTGGGGAGGACACGAAGAGGCTCACAGCTGGAGTCTGGCCTCCATCCCAATGTAGCCATTGCCCAGCAGGACTTCCTAGCAGCATCGGGAGCACCAATGGGTCCTTTTCTAATTGGAAATTGCTTTTGTGGTTTTAATTTGCAGCTATTTGAGTTTCTTATCACTGAGCAGATTTGCTGAACTGAGAAGCACCGGAGGGCTTTAATATTTTCATTATCTTTTAAGGATTTTCTGTGGAGTTGTCTTTAAGAGGATAACTTCATGTCTTGCTTGAAACACAAGCCTGTGAGACTTTTTTTGCCTTTGTCCATGGCTTTTTTAATATGAAGGTATTTTTTGTCATTAAATATCGCCACCAGTTACTATTACAGTAATACACCATTTAGATAGCAAGAAGCAGTCAGTTGCTCCCAAGCGTTTCAGGGCTCTTTTCCATAATGGTGAAACTTTTCAGTGTCCCTTGTCCAGTGATGATGACAGCTAACACAAATGTGTATGTTTGGATGCTATAGTCATGTGAACCTATTGGAAAATAGGTTGGTCTGCAAGGAGACTTTTAAGAATATAGTTGTTTTGAACACACTAAAACTATTTACAGAATTATTTTCATGCAGTAAACTCTTTTAAGCTGAAAAAAGTGGATTTCACCTTCATTTATAAATGAAAATTCTTCCATTTACCTGAAATGGCATTAATAATATAAAAAATCGTATTATTTTTAAAAGGCAGCTACGTATTTGCAAAATGAGTAATATCTTTTTTGGGGAGGGAGGGAAGAGGCATTATAGTTCAAGCCGTGATGACTGCATTTTAGATGCCTTAGTAGATAAAATTGGGGGACATAGTATCAGTAACTTAGCCAAGAAAGAGTACTTTGCCCAAAAAAATGTAATTGCTAGTATAGATGACATTTTTCATCGCTTTTATTATTTTCAGGAGTACTAAATACAGCATGAACTTGCAGATTTCTCTCATTCGTGTCATTCCAAATGAGAATGTGGACAGGCGCTTTTTCAATGGTTTGTTTGGGGGTTTTTTTAATCTGTTGGACAGAGCAAGCTTTGGTAGTGCAAAGCTGTGCTGGTAAGCCCGTAAGCTCTGGGTCTACCCAATGGTGTACTAAATGTATTAAATTAACTAATGTACCGTTAATTGCAATTAGAGCGAGGTGGTGTGAAGCTGTAGGCCACCCTGCAGGAGCACCTGTTCTGGTGTGCCACCTTGCTGTGGGTCTTCTTCCCTCCCTGCTGTGGGGTGCCCTCAACCTCTGGCAAGTGCCACTGTGCCTTCAGGACGTGGCAGGGGACATGATCCTGTGGATCAGAGTCCCTCCCTGTGCAGAAACACCCCAAAAAATTGTGGTGCATACATTTGTGGTGAGCGAGTGCAGGTTGGGGCGGTGGGGATGGGCAGGACAGCTCCTGCACACCAGGCAGGCAGCAGCCAAGGGCTGAACACAGCTTCCACCACCCGCTCCACTTGGGGGGCTCCTGAAGAGGACATCATAGCTACAGCTGAGTACTCTGAAACCTCGCAAATTGTGCATAATGCTGTATTTCATACGTACATTTATTCTGGTTGTAAAGTATTTTATAGTTCCACAAGTGCTTTGCTGTATTTCAGTGTCTTGTACCTGATGTAATTAATTTATATAAAACAAAGCTAACAGAAGCTGGTGGATTTTAGTGGAGATGCAAGAACAGCCAGCTGCTGTTTTGTTAATCGTGGTACATTTCCTTTGCAGTACTGTCTTTTGTATATTAATCTTTAGGCACCGTGTAAGTAGACCTTTGCTTTGCATCTGTAAAAAGGCAGGTGTGACTTTTAAGAGGTTATCCCCAAATACTTGAACTCCTTTCTATTGCTAATTGTATTACTTTGTGGTAGTTCTTAAAACCTGTCAAATGCTCGGCAGGACAATCCCTTTTAGGGGAATTTTGAAACAGCAGCCAGGATAATCAGATGGGGGGGCTAAGACAGCTCATAGGCAGGTCAGTGGTATTTAATGATTAGTATGCTTGAGTTTTCCTTGCTGTTTTTGGCCC